TTTGTTTGTGTGTATGTATGTTTGTGGTAGCACTTCTGTGCTAAGCTATGGTCAGAGGATTGTGACTGGTAAAGAAAATAGAAAAAAAAAAAAAAAAAAAAAAAACTAAGTCAGTTTCATAACCATAGATGAATCTCCTGTTTGTATTTAAGAAAGCTGTGTGGTGTTCTAGTTTTGTGTAAAGTAAGAAAATTAGAAATGCAACTATAACAGTAAAAACTATAATTTTTGTAATACTAATTATAAAATTTATGATATTAAAATATAAGTTATAATATGGAAAGTTAGTTATATTTTGAAAATTTTGAAATTTGCTGTGATTATTCAGTATAAGTAATGTGTCTGCAAAATTTTTACAACTGTGATATTGTGTGTAAAGCTTTGCAAAGCCTTCCCTGAAAAAAATCTAATTATGTGGACTCTAAAACACAAGGACTTTTGGGGCCAAAATTTGAACAGGGCTCTAAAATCTCATCAGAATTTATATTTTGATGCGCACGTATCGAGGAAATCTTAAGCAACTGGATCCCAGCAACTGGACATTAATCTGTCATGTGATCTGAAATAGAATTCGGTATAAAAAGGTAATTGCGTCGTAACTCCGCCTCCTTCGTCTTCTCTTCTGCTTCATTTCGCTTGTCGCTAGCCACGCAGAATTTACTTTTCCAATTTTCTTCCATTGTTTAAGAAATATAAGCTGTACAGAATTGGGTGGGCATAGCGCTCCCACAGTGATGATGTGCATTATTAAGGAATAAAATTATTTGTGTAATTTACCCGTCACGTCTGTTCTTCGAGTGTCATCTTTCTAACTAAGCAGTAAAGTCTTTACGTTATGATGCACAGAGCCACCGCCAATCCGTTGCAACTTACTTTCTACCAAGTCATTTAATTACAATAATGGCACAGTCTAATTACATATATATATATATATAGATTTTCGATGCTCAGTTAGTTAGAAGAATGCATAAACCAGTAACTTTCAGACGTGCCCGTTTCCAAACACAACGTTATTCCATGATAATACTCACCAACTGTCTTTTGGTAGACAAAGCCTTTTATCCCACCATAGTTAAATGCAATAATTGTTATGTACACTGGTTTTTAAGGGTATGACATAGGCATTTTAGCAAGGCAAAGCAGCGCGATGTTGGCACAGCAGATGTTAGGGAAAGGAAGATGACGTAGTTATTTGCGAGCGATATTTATAGCGAGTATATGCATAAAGTACTCTAAGCTATGATTGATTAATTTTAGGTTGTTATGTAACATGGAAATATCTCGAATTTGGGAGAAGAGATGAATTTAAGGGGGACAACATAAAATCTAGAATAGTTAATTTTGAGGTTGCCAATCATTTCTTAAAGCAGCCATCGTATTTTGTTATATCTTACAAACTTCTAGTTTTAATTGGCATAGCCTCTTTCATTTTTTATTTAATTTGGAGACTTCCTGTCTCTATCTTAAAAATAGAGCTATAAGTCTAAACTGTGTCATTAAAATTAATCATGCGATCCTACGTAACGCTTAAGGCAGATTACTCTTGCCCAATCAATAAATTGTAAACAAAAGCTTTTTAACTCGAACTGAAACTTTTGACTCCCTCCCTTCTTCCTTTGAATTGCTGCAACACTTTCGCTTAAGCTTTCCCCCTAGCCAGACGCTTTGGGGGCTACCTTTTTTCTTCAAGGAATATGTGCTGAGTTAACAAAAATCTAGGCGCATAAGACGCCCGTCCGTATGTTAACCAAATATTACGAATCCCAACTTGCTTTCCTCAATAATAAAATTATCTTGAATCCTGTAATGTCTACCTTTTGAAGTTTCTTCGCTAGGCATCTATTACGCCACCACCAAGTTCCAAATCATATATAACATGACATATATATAATTGGTTCGCAACAATAATTAACACAATTTATTTTGTTTGCAATTGAATTTACATTTAAAATTTTAATTTACTTTATATAAATGAGATTATAATATTGTATTTTTTAAATTTTTATTTCATTCCTTGCAGCTCTGGAGAAAGAGAATTATTTAAATTTACTAATTAGTTTTTAATGAAACAATATTTTATTATATATCTATCTATACATAATCAGCGTATAAATGTAATAATAAACAAATATAAGTATTTCGGAACTATTTATAAAATACCTTGCTAAATATTTCTTTCTCGGTGTTTTATGTAAAATTTATATTTTATGAATAAACTCAGAAATATTCATCAGGTTAGTGAAACTGTTTAAGAAGGAAGCGTTAAGTATTTTATTACTTCTTATCGTCAATGTGTTCTGGCATTTTCAGTTTAGCTGAACAGAAAAGAATACATTAATTCTTTCATGGTGTATTTACCTTCAGATTCTTAGGAAACAAATGTTAGGAAGTATCTTCAGAAAATAATAAATTTTAAAAGTGCTTCAGCAGAATTTTGATTCGTATCAGCATACTGCATGAAACATTTGTTTCTTGGAGTTATATCTAGATCATTTACTCCTTTTTTATAGATTAGACACTGTAGATCTCAACATTCGATAGCCAGTAGTCGAAAATGCAATTCGACTCTCTTGAATGAAATTCTTCTGGAAATAATATCAAGGATTGCACAAGGACACATTTCTTCAGACAATATAGCAGCTATTTTTATGCATTACATCTTGCAAGAATTTCTAAAGAATTTGTGCTTTCACTTTTCATTTCAATCAAATCTTCTTTTTCCTAACTTAAGCATTCAGTAATAGGAGACAGCAAATTCTTGCAACAGCAGAAAAGTGATTCAATAGGGAATTATAAAAACATTACATTAAACCATTCTTATGCCTACATTCAAAATAAAGGCAATATCTACACCTTACAGAGAACAAACAAGTTTTACATTTCAAGAAGAATTTAGTTATATACACATATACATATAACTATACTTGAATATAGAGTGTATCAATGCATACAGATTCCATCAACTTAGAATAGTAGTTATAACATTATTGCTATCGTCGGCTCTTTTGCAGATCTATGGAGACCCGTTATTAACATACAGGCATTTTCCAGTTATTCTCAAAAGAAATACGTTTTAACACTTTTGTTAGAGTTTTTCTAAAACAGTTTCCGCTCTTTCAAGAGGACGCTTCTAATAAAAAAAAAGTTTGGTATGATAAAAGAAATATAAATAACATATTTCTAGTATTATTTATATTTCTTTTATCATACTGAACTTTTTTTTATGTTTCCTATCCTACTTTTTTTATAAGTTTCCTTATCTTATTTCTTGTATTTTAACTTTTGTATTAATATAAAATTTAACATAATATATGGTTTGAAGAGTTTAAATTCAAAACAAATGCATCATAAATTTTTGTTGGTACACATTATTGGTAGAAACAAGCAAAAAACCCACATGCTGTAAGAAATAGCATCAACAAGTTTATGCAAAAATTTATATTTACTGAAGCGTAAAAAAGTTCATTTGAAGATATTGCTGCTAAAATTGCTAATTTTTTAATATAAGTTAGCTGTAGAAATGTAGTTTCCGGTGTGGAACTAAATCAACTGAACAACAGCTGCTGATAAGTTTAACGCCAAGCCTTTTAAATTACTTTAAGCAAATGTACATTTGAAACAGATGACTATTCATCAGATCATCCTCACAAATTTTTTCTTACAGTAACTTTGATAAAAAAATGCAAGTTTGTGGTTCGTGTTTTCTAACTATGCTTTTTATTCCGTTTCACTGAATGTGACAAACGAACAAACAGAAAATTTTGAATTTGAGTTACAGCCCGATGTAAAAAGTGATAAACTGATGTTTCATTTAAAGCAGTATCGACATGAACTTTCTAAAAGGCTCCGAATGACAGGAAACATTATTTTCACCTCAACATTTTATTCAAATTAAATTATCATTCCAAACTATCATTTTGAATGAACCGAAGCCATAATGAGCCAAAGAACTCAGCAATCAATTGAAGCGTAATGAACGGAATATTACGTTAAGCGTAATGAGTGTAATATTTACTCCATATTAGAATTTTCCTCTTTTAGATGTAACAGTCTAAGGTCTTAAACAGTTTAACTGGACTTGATCATTTCTTTCGTAAATAATAATTTTAAATTATTTGTTGCATTTAGTTAAAATAAGAGATAATGATCTTCAAAATAAATTTGTTACTTTAAAAATCAAGGAATTAAGAGAGCACTTTGGGAGATCTTTCTTACACTTTTACAACAAATTATCTTTCGACCTTTCCTTTTACGTTTATTTCATTGTTTTCCTTAATATTCTTACATATTAACCTCTTTTTGTCTCGTAGACAGAAATGCTTTCTTGAGCATTTAAAACACTAGTATTAAATATTATAACTACCACTGACAACAATCGAATCTCGATTTTCCTTCAGAAGCAAAATGAGAAGAGGAGAAGTCAGGCCTTTCGCTCTTTCCACACAACTGGATTAAAGTGGGGCGACGTATCTGCATTTGTTATTATAATTTTAGAAAATGAGCATTGATATAACTCACTTTTTACGTCAGCTCTCGAAGACTTTACATCGGCAGTTAGGGCATGAAATATTTTATTGGCTTCACATTACGGCATTTTATTAACGTATCGGATTCGCACGCAAAGAAAAAGACCAAACCTTTCCTATGTTTTAAAAGCAAAAACGTATTTCTGGAATTTCCTTAAAATATAAAACTTCTATATATTACAAAATGCCCTTTTTTAATTAAAAAATAAACCTACAGGTGGAAATATGTCGCCTTTACTCTTGTTTTTTTCCTAAATTCTCCAGCTTTGCTTCATTTACGAAATGTAAAGACTACAGAACATTGTAATAAAAACAAAATTGACAGGAACATTGCTTTGCATTTTTTTCTTGACTTTCCAAAAATTGCGATGCTCAGTAGTGTGGGAAAGCGGGACTCGTCCCAGGTATCCCGGCAGCATCTGTTGAGTGACGTAAAAGCTTGTTGCATCGATCCACGACAGAGCGTCTCGCGACACCGCGAAGAGAAGACAATACTTCTGACTTCTCGTATTTTTCGAGGACTTCGCACCGCCTGATCATCCCGACAGAACTCACGAACTGCACGATTTTGAAGAAAAAGAAATTTTGACGGTAAAAGTTTCAGTTGCAAGAATTCCAGTCTCAGGAAAGTGTCCCATTGGTAAAAGTTCGTACTTTGCTAACTTCGTATATGTGTAATATATACATATATATATAATATATATATATATATATATATATATATAATAATGTATGTATGTATGTGTGTGTTTTGTTTATAAGTATGTGTTTGATTTTAGTTGATCTTTGTCTCATGATTGATTGTTCTTTTTTTTAAATTTTAGATAATTTTAAATTTTATTACAGTTAGAAATTTAATTTCTTAGAATGAAATGAGAATATTTTACGTAAAATTTTAATTTGCAGTGAGAGTTTTACTAAAATTTTGAAATTGAAAATGATCTTTGAAAAGTTAAAACTCTTTTCTGAATAAAAATGAAAACTCAGGGGGTAGAAATTTGAAGTACACCTTAAACTTCATCTTATTGCTGTATATTATTCAAAATGTTTATCATTTACCACCAATACGTAACTTTTGAAACTTTTTTGATGTCATCTGATCACAGAAAAGGATGTAACATATCTTTTGCGCTCGCTCGCGCTGTTGTTCAGTTTCTTTTGTTAACTTTACGTTTAGTTTGGGACTGTCACCGAAAAGTTAGGAGAATCGAAGGTGTAGTGTACTTTCTTCCTGGACATCACAGACTAGACGACTGCTCCAGAGAAATATTCTTGCATTTCTTCCTTTCAAGGTAAAATAAAAAGTTACATTCTGTTACAATAGGCCAAGACTGAATAAAACTGCAAATAATCATTGAATTTATGATTAACCATTTCTGTTAGCAAGCATTCGTAATCATACTGACATTAAACATTTTATTATAAATTCTAAACTCTATACAAACAGGCAAGTACATTTTCTGAAGATATTTACTACGATCAAACGTCCTGAAATTGCATGCTATTAGTTTTGAAGGTAGTTATAAAACTTTTAATCTATGTCATTGTTTGGTATAAATAATATTTGTTCTCGCACTTTCGCTCGGTTTAAGGTGTGGTTTTATTTTCGTATTCCTGCAGGGAAGTGTTTCTGTTAAAACACTGACTCTTTCTGTGAAAGGCTAGGTTTTTGGACTTATGCTAATTTGTTTGCATCAAAATCCAAAACAGCATTTGGAACTTTTTTTTCTTTCGATGCTTGTCATGGATCTTTTAAAGAATGTGCCATCCTTTTAAGAATAAGGAACAATGGCATTATTTACTTTTAACCTACCTATATTATTTACTTTAATATACAGAGGTTTGAATATTTCATTCTAACTCGTGGATTTAAAATAACGGTAACAGTAATATTAATGAGGTAATTAAAATTAATTTCGAGTTCGCTCATCTTTTCTAAAATATTTTATTTCTGTGGTCTAGAAGTTTTGCTTTTGTGTCATAAGTGCAATACAAAATGGAACGTTTTAACTCGCCTTGAGTCATCTTTCTATTCTATAAATGCACCGAAATTGCATTTTATTTGCATAATTGCAGCGGCATTGAGAGTAAAGTCATGTATCATGGAGAATGATAATGACTGAAATTAAGGACAAACGTAAATGTTCATAAGAAAACATTTCTTCATATTCAGAATAATGATATGAAGTTATATCTTTACTACTAAAGGTTATCTCCAGAAAGTGAAAAAGGATACTGCTGAGTTTAAAATTAAGCGGAAAAGCAATTTTATATTAGCATAGATTTTAGATATCTGATCGTCTTCGAAATCGATTGAGTTTTGTACAAAATTTACACCAAAATAACGCTGCTTATTGTCCTAATTTTAAATTGTCTTGAGGAATCAAAGCTTAAATCTGGAGAAGAAATCGAAGTATTTAAAGTGTCCATTCGAAAATTAAGGGAAATTAAGGACAGAAGTAAATGTACATAAGAAAACAATTCTTCATATGCAAAAATAAAAAGCCGACTTCATATCTTTACCACTAAAAGTTATATTCAGAAAGAGAAAAAAGATAATGCAAAATTTAAAATTAAGTGAATCGTCTGATCGTTCTCCAAATCTATTGATCAATCACCATAACAAAACTATTTGATTCCTTACGTATTCATCAAAATATGATAATTTAATCAAAAGATATATAACAATTAAAATTCCCTTACGTAACTTTAAAAGAACTGTTTTACTAATTACATAGTTCGGAAATTCAGAAATAATTGTCCAAAACTTGATCAGAGAAATTCTCATATAATGTCTGCACTGAAAGTTTTCTCATTTATGCTGTTAATAAATGGGTTCGACTGGTTCAGAAAACTCATGGATTTACGGAAACATATAGATTTGGAGGAATAACTCCAATGATATATTTATAGCTTTAGATATATGCAAATTAAACGTATAACTGGATTTATGTGTGCGATGAAAATAATTTCTTTAAAGTTTTTAAGAAAGTGAAGTTCTCAACGGAGACATATGAAGTTGATTGCTCATAAATTGAATGCTAACTGATGTAGTTAATGGTTTTGAAGGCAATATCATTGTGAAAAAAATATACTTAATCTTTTACAGACGCAAAAAAGAAATTCTGAAAATTTTAAAATGGATATTCAGATGGATAAGCAATTCTACCAAATTTGTTATTAACGAATTTTGTGTGTGTATATATATATAGATATATGTAATATAAAATTTTCGAAGAACTACACTCACGTTTAAACTGTTTGTCATTTGATTAAGAAGATCAGAAATATTTTAAGAAAGTATGACATTGTTGTTTATTTACAGTATATAAATGCACATAATCAATTGCTATTTATTAAATGAAATAGGAAATTATGCTAAACAGCTATCCATGACTGAAAACTTTTGAATATGAATTTAAAATTAGAAATTCATACATCATCGGTAAAACTAATTTTTAGATGGTACGTTCTTTCATTTTCTTGCTAACTGTTTGGCTGGAAAATGGAGTTTTCTTTCTCTCAGATTAAGTAACATAAAGATTAAATGTTAAATATAATAATCAATCAACTGTTGGTGTAAGTTAGATTTTATGAACTTTTATGATTTTTTTATTTCAGTCTTATGGTACAATATGGAAATTCGCTAGCAATATTATTTTCTGTATGATGGACAGAGCATGCACAAACTTTGCCTACGGACTGGCTGAAACAAATTTCACTCTTAAATTCTATGCAGATAGGAAAATCAGTAAATATCGATTAATTCTTTACAGAGATTCTTTTTAAGGATATGTTTTGAAAGTAAAAAAAAAATTAGAACAAAACCATTTGATTTCTTATGTTAGTTGGATAAAACTAACCCTCATGATACGAGTGACATTTAAAGCAGAACATCGATTAAAGTAACATGAAAACGAAGTTATAACTACATTGTTCCGTTTACTCAATGAACTATGGTTTCGAATACTGCGCAGCCTGTTACTTTAAATCCCTTTAGAGGTTTGTGATCACCTTTGACCCTCTTATTATTTTACCCAGTCACCCTTCTATATAAAGCAAATAATTTACCATTAAGATTGTATAAAAAGATGAACTTTGTATTTACTGATTTGTTTTTCATGAAGATTCGGTTTAAACACATAGTTTGTTAGCGAAGAAATTTTTAAATGCTTCGATTTCTTATTTTTTTTTATCATTTGATTAAATATTAATGCCCAGTTAATTTGTATACAACAACGGGGCAGTCTAAAGTGTATGAGAGCCGGAAAATATTAATGTAGTTCTCCCCTTAATATAAGTGCTCTATATACCACAGTTTTGGATATTGTGCGGCTGTTTCCTAAAACCACACGTTAAATGACACAGTTCCGGAAAAATATCTTTAGCAATCGGATAATAATTCTACAAAGATTAATGTCTTCTTCTATCAAGAATGTGCACTCTGAGTAACGCTTCTTTCTCCTAATAATCAATGACTTAGAAAGGAACTTTACTGTGAACTTGTAAGGTATTTCTCCTGCCTTCCTAGCGTGCCTTCTTGGTGTAGTGGCCAGCACAATGAGCCGGTATTTCAGAGGTCCGTGGTTCGATTCCCGGCGAAGGCGTTGCTAATTTTTCATCTCTTCTGCTTCCAAAAATTACCTAATGTCTCTACAAACTAACTTAAAACCAACTTCAGCAAACCTAACTCCATTCCTTTAACTTTACAGAAATATATAATGAGCAAACAAACGGCTAAAAGTTCGGAATTTAGTTAGAAACTATTATTTTGAAAAAAATATATATTACCTTTAAGATTGTTTTATAAAGCACATATATTTTATTAGAAAACTTATTCTAAAAAACATATGTATTACTTAACACAATTATTAAATTAAATAAAAATGTATATGAGATGTACACGTAATTTAACTTTATATATATATATATAGAGAGAGAGAGAGAGAGAGAGAGAATATTTACTACGTAGATATCATACTTTGCATTTTTGTTACTTTTCACTTACATTATTTCTTGAACGGAATGCAAGAAAAGTTTTTTAATCTCACTACTTAAAATACATATGTGCGAAGTATTATATGCAGGGTAAAAATTCTTTATCTTTTCTTTTCAGAGACGATTTACTTTCAGCATAATGTGGATCTAATTCACATCGCTTCCTACCACGTTATAAGAAGGAAACACCGTCTACAATATGTAAACCAAAAGCTATGAAATGTATTGAATTTTCTTTTAAAATACAGTTTTAATGCTTTCATAAAAGTCCTCGCATTTAAATTAAATTATTTATCTTTTCCACGTCGGTATACAAAACGTTCGCACATGTTTGAAGAAACAATACTGCTATTACAACCAACTTACCGATCTTGACTAATATGGTGATTCCTCCGCACGTTCCAAAGCGCCATTTTAATCCTGTAGTAAAGCGGCATTTTGAGTTAATCCTCTTTTCTCCTCTTTCATTCTTTCCTAAATTAACTTAATCTCATGAACCAGACTTAAAGGCAGGGCTTTATCTCCTCACTCATTAATAAATAGGACGGGAAATGACACGTTGGTATATATTTAACTTCATTTTATAGAGTTCCGTGGCTAGATACTAAAGCCTTTCAGTTAGGCTTAAATGATATAACGACATATTTG